TTTCTTAATGTTTAATGAATTCTAAACGTTAGATTTAATTATTCAATATTCCATAAAGTATTCCCTCACTTTTCTCTGGCAATTTCAGCTTTTTAAAGTTTTCCACATCGGAAAACACCCGGCCTCGTTCTTCTCCAAAGAAATTTGTTCAAACTATAAGGAATGATTTTTATGTAGGTACCTACAGCATCCACCTACCATTTTTGCCTGGTGGTAACCATACTTTAACGTTATATTCAATAAAATACCCCGGAATGATTTTCTTAATGATTTTATCTGTAATTTCGTATTTTACTGTGCAAAATTCTTTACGCACTAAATGGACGTACATCATACGTTAAACGCTTTCCTGTTCACTGATCGCTCCCTTATTACTGTGAGTAACAAAAATGGCCGAACTCCCGCTGTATCTTTTTTTATTCGATCATCATCAAGCAAACATTAACATTCGCATAATCGGCGCCCCTACACCAACCCCATGTAGCATATCGAGGACACTTATCGCCGTCATTCTTAGCACCGACACAATAACCCTAACGACTATTTTGACGTTGGTATAATTCACTGGGTTTGACCCTCTATATGACGAATTACATTTACAGTATGTCCCAATTTTATACCACGCAGGGTACCTGTGGTATTTATTTTTATTTAAGAAAAAAATTGGTGGTAATACTTAAATCTTCTAATGAGACTGCGTGTTGTCGTCAAAAGTATGTTTTAATGGTAAACCATCTACAACTCGTTGCTTTTGTATAAATAAATTTACACCGACGTTGAAGAGAAATCACAATAGGGCAGAACTGGACTCGCGAATCGGATACTGATACCGGCAATGTCACCCCGATAGGAGATATGGATGCTTTTAGTTGTAAAATACAAAATACTAGTGCGCGGATACTTTCTCAGGATAATGAATACGGATACTCATTCTATTGAATACTGTTTTCATTTTGCTTTCTTCAGCCGGAGAGTTGTCGGAGAGTTTTGAAATTGTTAATGGACGAACGCATTTTTCCCAAAGGATTCGGATGCACCTTTGTATCCGTATATTGTATGAATATACTGATGCATCCGGATACAACCAATCTCTGTAGTAGAGTCATAAAAAGTTGACGTTAAAGTATAGAAATACGGATTTTATATAGAAAAGATGAAACATGTTGGCCAACGAATTTATTTTGACACTGACCACAAACAGTGGATTATTTCTTTAAAAAAGTCCCAATTCATCAGTGTTATTTATATGTTTTCCAGTATATAAAGTAAGCACAGAATTTTTATGTACCCAGAATCGACAATATAATCAATGAGTAGCTTTAAGTAAGGAATCGGACACTATAAATTAATTAAAAGAATCTATGGTAAAAAGGATCCTAACGCATAGTCATAATTCGAAATCAAATGATATGCCTTTATAGGCGGTTGGTCGCTTTAACCAGATTTGAACTATAACGTGCATATATTTGTTCATAATAAAACCAAACTCTCTTATTTACAGTTACAGCTGTATATAAAGTAAATAAGTACATGGTTTAGTAACTGTGTCGAAAATTATAAAAGATTACCGCACTGGGTTTGAATTTTGAAGAATGGAAAACAAAATAGCACTGCGTGTTTGTTCTTCTTTTCATATTTCGAGCCAACAACTACAGGGCTTTGCCTATGTGGTGACTAACTGAAGTAGTTGCCTATTGGCTTGAAGAGCACTCGAAAACGCGTTCGACAAAACGGGCACACAAAGTTGCCGTTGAAAATCAGCTAATTGTTGAGCCCCTCAGACCGAACGACAAAGGAGGGCTTCAACTACAACCACCACGAGTGGATGGGATGATGATGTGTCTGATGCTGGAGAACCGTACGCCAATGTACAAACCGGACCAATCGATTACACGGATTGAAAAGGATTAGTTCGCAATGAATCGATCTCATATTTAATGGGCGAACGCTAATGTGTGTTACAGTTTACCATCAATGGTTCAGGAAACCGTGAAAAGATAAAATAGTTTTTAAAGAACATCCACCTTCAACATATACTATCCTCGTGGTCGCAGACATTATTTATTTACGTTTCATTTTTTATGTATCTAATAATAGTGCTTAATTGACAAATATAAATTTTATAAGAGAATTGCATAAATGGGTTAGAATAGGGTACATAGGAATTCTCATTAAAATTTAGGAAATTAAACAAAATAATAAAGGTTTCTGCAATTTGGAACTGGAAGAAGAATTTATAAGATCACAACTTATGAGTCTGTCAGTCTGGCTATCTCATATTTTGGCTGTTCGAATTCAGAATCGATTTTAATGTGATGTTTTTTCTTTGAAATGCGGTAATATTTGATATCTGCCTCGTCAAGGAAATCAGTTAAGGATGTTTGGGAGGTATGTCAAAATGCTATGAGACAAATAAAAATTTGGAAGAACGCTCCTCATTCAATTCTAAAACTCCTGTAAAAATTACAAATCGATTCACTAAACCGTTAAAAAGTTATTGAAATTTTAAAAAATTGTAATTTTACACGTCATTTTATGGAGATTCGTTAACCGAACAGATTAAATTTATTTTTATTAACAGAAAAAAAGCTACCAGAAATTTCAAACTTTTATAATAAGTAACTTGAACTCTGGAGAATCACTTTAGCGTAAGGTTATTCAAATTCACTAAATGGTTATCGAGGAAAAAATGAAAAATTAGCTGAAAATCTCGTTTTTACTTGATAATATAATGATAATATTTATAATTGTCTGAAATAAATGCAATTTTAAAGTTTTAATTATTATTTAAACATATTAAAAAGTTTTACGCTCATTATTAATAGAGATTGAAACTAAATATTTTTTTGTTTCGAAGTTGAAATCAAGGCATATTCACTGCCAAAAGTCAGTTAAAAATTTTCCATATTATTCGTTATTTCTTATTTTATTCAAAGTTTTTGGTCAAATTCCAAATTTTCTCTCAAATCGTATACTTTTTTTTTAGTATAGATAGTATTTATTTACCTCATGCTATGCTGCAAAACCTAATTAATCACGAATTTCTAATATTATGTACTCTTGTCTCCTATTGTACCTTCCAAACATCCTTAAGCTATTTCTAGGACATTCAGCTCACATACAATGATTGCCACCAGCTTTCCCACTTGCCTCTTTGTATGTAATGCTTTATTAAATTCTGAAACAATTTCTCTTCTCCATATACACAGGGTGGCTCAAATCAAACATTTTAGAGTATCCTTCTGATCGTTAATCTGTTTTGATGGGAAAATGTGACTGAATATTTGTTGAGCCGGCCTGTATGTAATAGTAAGCAAAATTAAATTGAAATACTGTACACCGTTCTTCAGGCGCAAACAAATAATAATATTAGACGATCGTTTGGGGTCAAATAGTTGATTGAATTAGAGATCGTCCTTTTTCTGTTTATTTCGTTTTAATAAAGAGGAACAACATCAAGGCACTTGTATTTGTTGCCGTCGCTCCATCGTCGATATTAATAACAAAAAGAATAAGAAGACGACTTCGACGATAAATAAGAATAAGAATAAGAAGAGAATGCGATGAACAATAAAACGCTTACTCATCGATGAAATAAAGGCGTTCTTCGTGTGCGTTTAATTATGATTGCGCATATTTTTCTGTACGCCCACGACAAAGCCTTATCCGAGGGTGTTAGATATAAGCGGAAGCGCAGGTGAAGTTTGAAAAATACGTTTATGCATACACAGTATGCACGTCTCGTCACCGTAATAATGCAAATGATTGAAAAATTGTCGCTGTGAGGTCCAAATACAACATAAAGGATAATGAAAACATTGGAGGTGTTTAGCTTCCACTGGCTTAATCTTCTGGAATGCTTTCACTTCGTATTGTCAGGATACTTTTCAAAATGTTTTGGAAATCTGATTTGATTTTGAAATATATTATACAACTTCGATTACCTACGTTATCATAAAAGGATCATTACGCTATTGAAGCTCTCATACCGGAAGCATTCAATTATCAATTATTAAATGATTTCTGTTTTTATAAAATTGACTTTTGATAGACTCTTTACACGAAACACTTAGCTAGTAGCACATTTTTAAATGTTTTTAGGTTGTTTTGTTTATTGAATGTTATTCACTATAGTTATAACCTAATTCAACAGAACTTCTGTTTTTTCCTAATGTTCAACTCGTTATCATACAAATCATTAACCACTTGTTGTGGTAAATAATTATCAAGACAATGTTCTTCCTTATAATAATAGTAATCTAAACATAGATCAAACATTGTGTGTACATAATTAGGAAAACTTTTGTGGGCAATGTTGTGGAAAAATTAATTTGTACCTACAATTGTTCAGTACAATACAGCCATGCTTGTGTTCACTATCTCATAGTTTCGGAACTGGAGCGTCTAATAAGTTGTATGTAAGTGAACATGAACCGGATGTTGGTAAATAATTTAAATGGAGATAATTTGCATTTTCTCTAACATGCAATTATTCTTATTCTCTACTCTCAATTAAAGAGAATCGGCTAATTTTTTTAATATATTGTATTGAATGTTGATAAGTATCTTGTGCAGTTCTCTGATAAGAAAAAGCTAACAGCTAAGTACCAGGTTCATGTTCTGAACGAAGGAACTGCCGTCGGAAAACGAATGGTAACTTCCAATGTTTCTAACAAAGCTATAGTTTTAAAACATCATTTTCCAAATCTTCATTTTGTTTTCCCAAAATTTCATCTTATCGTATGTAACATCAAGGAATAGACAACCTTTACAATGAGATTTAAGTATCTTTTGAAGGAAGGAATAAAGGAAGAACAAAAGAAAAGTCCAAGGGAAAACCAATTCAAGAAATTAACCATTGTAACAACTTGAAAAATATAAGCAGTAAAGTACAAATACTTTACCACTTGTATGATTCGAGCAATAACATCTGAGCTGGATACTACAACAATATTTCGTACAAAAGGAAACCTCCACCAGGAACCAAAAGAACCACTTACCAGTATGCGTCCTTTTGTGGATTTTGAGGTTCTCGCTCCTCGCAAAGACCTTCCCACAACCGGGAAAAGGGCACGGGAAAGGCTTTTCTCCTGTATGCACCCTAATGTGGTTAACTAGCTTGTACTTTGCTTTGAACGGTCTTCCATTCCTCGAACAATTTTGCCAAAAGCACGCGTGTGTCGTGCACTCTGGTCCACCCACGTGTTCGACCGTCAGATGCGTGACAATCTCATGCATGCTCGTGAAATGTTTACCGCATGTCTTTCTCGGCGGCGGTTGATCAGGATCCACCCAGAGACATTGCATCTCTTGTTTGATGGGCTGTCGCATGTATCTAAAGAAGGCGCCGTGTACATTCGACGGATGATGCGGCATTCCCATGTGATGATTAAGGTACTGATGGTGATGGTTTGGTTGTGCATATGCGTGATGAGGATCCGCCGTTCGCGAATATAACATTTGATGGTGTGGCCCGAGATGGTGATGCTGATGGGGCGTCATGTCCGCATGGGGATGGTGAAAAAGTACCGGATCCGCAGGAGCAGTTTGAGCCGTCGGAAAATCGTGATGGTCCCGGCGCAGAAGGAAATCTCGTGCGGCGTAACCAGCATGGGGATTTAGGTGACCCATATGCGAGTAGTTGGGTTGAAAGTGATGATTTTGGCCCGCGGGACCCACGTCAGGAGCCGTCATTGCAGCCGCCGGATTCTGATGGTGAGGCGATGGGATTGTTGCGCCTCCACCAGCATGATGACTTGGGCTCATCTTCAATCCATAGGTGGCCAAATGATGATGACTCGAGTCCATAAATGCATTTATCATTCTGCCGTTGTCTTCTTGCTTCACATCAAAATACATTTATGTTGTCAACCAGTTCATCAATAGTATTACGAGAAAAACCTGTCCTTTCACAAAAACTAAGCACTATCTTACGATAAGACTTATCCTTTGACCTAACAATGTTGTACTGACGATTGCCGCCTGATGGATTCCATTCTAAAGGCAATTTGGACCTTTGGAAGAAGCAAAAAAAGAAAGAAGTCTACTGTTGGTTTAACTTAACTTAAGCGTCATATTTGTTCCTTTCAATGACCAGTTCTTTAAAAGGACCACTTCCACTTCACAATTTGATAAGTCCGGATGACCGGCTCCACTATCAGTTCCTTTTTTCAAAACTACTAAGAATATCGCACAATTGCCAAATTCAAATCCGATTTCACAACCTATTTTACGATTATAAGGTAATAGACAAATTCCCGATGAGGTATCGTTTTGTGACTCGAAGAAGTTGTTGAAGGATAACACCACAGGATACCCTCTGTTCCCGGAGTTCGCAGCTGGACTGATCGGCGGATCGGCCCCAGTGAGCCATGCTTGGAATGCGTCTGCGGGGCGGGATATCGGCAAAGCTTATTGGCTAACAGGGGAACCCCTGCCATTGGCGCTCTGGGTCCTGGTGCTCCGCCACTGCGTCCGTTGGTTACTGTGTCGCCAATCGCACCAGGAGGTGGTTCTACCAGGATAACGTGGTGCTAAGTTCCACTTGTTGAGCGCACTGAAGAAGCGGTACTATTACATCAGTAGTCCTAATTACGGTCCACGTTGTTCATAATTATTATTATTACTGTTTCAATAATAACTGGCTGTTGGCATATCCTTGAATAATTGCCCACAGTGAATCGTAGGTAATCCAAAGACAATTACTACTGATCAAACCACTTTGAAAGTGCAAGTGGTATTATCTATAAATACTTGCAACATCAATTTGTTTTTCTGAAATAAGAAAAGTTTACATTTTGATCGTATTTCATAATTATCCTAGGAAAAATGAAAGATAAATGCGTTCTTTTCCATTTTGCTGCGATCCCTTTTGAAATTTTCTGAATGGAATCAGAATCTCATTTGGAATCTAAATTTTACGTAACTACCTCTGCAAGACCTTATTAAGGGTGGTTCTTATATGTATCTTTTTTTATGTCAGAAAACCATTGGATTGTTTTTTATCTATTTTTATTTCATGATTTTGTCCCTAGTAGTCCAATCTGGTATAGGTATCTACCTGTATTAATTAGTGTTACTTTCTTTTTGATGCTTTCTTTCATTCCTGTAATATTTTCGATACGTTATGGGCACTTATCATTATTATTGCTTACCCACACTTGCTTCCGAAATGTGCACAATAAATTCTGGAAAAAATAAACAGCAATTTAGGTTCGAAAACGATTCCCGTCTCGACGAGCGGGTGGGCAGGCATTGGCTGCAAGGCCTGGGCAGGCAGGCCAGGCCGTGATTCAAAAATGTTGGTAATTATGATCCAGAAAACCCCGCTGTTTCGGAAATTGGTCGCCGTCAATCCTGCGCCAATTTATTGCTCCGCCTTGTTACAAATCCGCGTCTTAAGTAGTCAGATGGCTGCTGTTGGTTGTTATTTTGACGGTTACGTTTTACTGCTTATAACTATAAGAACCATATAGGTACTTATTATAATACATATGCCCACACGTTACTTTTAACTTTTTATCTTATGTAGGTATAGAGGAAATTTAATGTTGCGTGTAGCAATACCAAAAGTGTCGAAAAATTTTATAAATTCATCTCAGAATCATTTGTTTTTCTTTGAATCAAATCATTTTTAGTATTAGAGAAGGTTAGGTATGTACATATTTTGTATCTTTTTGATTTTTCTCGTTGAATTTATAACAATGTTTAAATTTAGTAAGTAATAATTTATAGACCCTTTTTACACAAACCAGAACTTTAAATTCATAAATGAAAAGTAAATGTTTTGGGAGGGTGTGTTCATGGTTTCTCGTTTTTCCAACTCTGGCTTTGCGAAACATCAAATTTTCATATGTTTTAGTACCGATTTTCCAACTGCCAGATATATATTTTGTATCCCTTGCACAGTAATTGTTACTTGTAACAGATATATACTTAAATTTACATTAATTGTAGAATTTAACTCATAAGTTTCTAGGTAAATAATCCAATATAATAGTTCTTATGCGAAATAAAATTTGCTGAATTTTCAGTTGATTAGTGTGCAGAGAACCAAGTAGAAGAATGTAGAATATTTTCATTTCATTGGTTTAATTTGCAAATCTTGTACTTCGAAAAACTAATCAATAATATTGACGAGTGTTTTTACGATTTATCTCGTATAACACATATTTGAGAACATCATAGGCGTAGCAAAGACGTTTTCCTAGGAGGGCGGACCAAATTTTCAAATTAGTAGTTGTCACTTATACGTAGTGTAAGGGATAGCGTTGATTTATCGTATTTGAACTTGAATAATTAATATTCTAGGAGGATCCTATAGGGTGTACCTGGCTCAATATGCACATCTTCATAATTCTTATTTACACATTTCTTGTAATACTTGGAGAAACGGAAATAAAAAAGTAATTAAATAAGGGCTGTCAACGAAACGGAAAATTTGGCGAATCGGAACATTTGTCGAATCGAAATTGTAGGTAAATCCGTACACCGATCGTCTTGGTAAATTATAACAGTATATTGACCTTTTACTGTCACATGTAAGCTTCAGATATGCCTAGGTATGGATTAACTTTTTAGGTATTTCATTTTTATTTTATTTTTATCTATTTTATCATCAAAATTAGTGTGTGAAAAGTTTCATCTTATTCCGATGACAAAACTAGTTCAATGATATACGTAACGGTTTGCATTGGACAGAAAATAAAGCAATAAGTTAATAGATTAATACTAGTTGTAATTCAGAAGCCGATCGGGGAAATTTGAAAGCAAATTCTGCAGCATTTGAATATTTAGCAGTTTTTCTATGTATCAAAAAGTGTTTTTTTATCTAATGGTTTTTTGCTTTTTTGTGTAAAGTATGAAAGTTTATGTCGTTATTTCTGCAAATCTACAAAAAAAAAATAGTTCTATTTAAAGGGTGCTTTTATGATTCTGTTATTGAGCCACCAACTCTTGTATGTTAACGAGCAACCTTTATTAAAATAAAGTTCTCTTGAAGTTCTTTAAGTTAGGTACTTTTTTGATAGTGTAATAAACCTTTTTTGAACGGTAATTGCCAGGCGATCAAATGGCTTGATTTTTAGGAAATAATTTTTTTTTTAATAGTTTACGGTTAATATCATTTAAAGTATAAGAAAAAAGCAGGTAAACTCCTTGGTAGTAACTAATATTCAATATCTCTTATTATTCTTATCATAATTATACCTAATAATTTCTTTGTTCATTGAATGGATATCTGTTTCTGACATTTTAAATATCTAAGTTGTCTTCTTTTAAAAGGAAATCTGCTAACGATTTTCAAGTAGGTGGTTATATCTACATTGTATACCGTGAATTATTATTTTGAAAATGAAGTTTTTCTTTCTTTCGTATATTTAATATTTAAATTGTTGTAATGAACAGATACAATATTTATTTTATTTTTATTGTCCGAATATACCTCTAACGTAATAACTACAAGTAAATTAAATTATCTTAATGACTAATTTTTATTATATTATTGCCTAAAAAATAACCAATTAGGTTATGAATCTTATTCGCTAATAACTTTTAATTATTTCTTGACAGTTTCATTATTTTTTGTTAATAACTAAATAAAATGAAAATATGACACCAAATCGGTACCTATAAAAAATGGTTGGGCCATGATGTCGTTGATATATTATATTTTTCTATACTTGGAGAAATTTTTAATACTTAATTAGTTTTACATCAAAATACCACTTTTGACGCTGGGCTAAATCAAATTGTTACTTTGAATAAGAGCATTCATTTTCCATTGGATGTTTTGCGAGAAAAAAACTGCTATTAAAAAAATTTACTTTTAAATGTTTCAGGATTAGAGTTAGAAATAAAGTTTATATAATTGTAATATTTTCAAGACCACATACTAAGAGTTTTAATCTTTGAACTGTCAGAAAGTTTCTCAATCAGAGTACGTAAGAAAATATTTTTTTGTGCTCTCCTAGGCAAATAATTCATATTTCGGTTCAGAAAAGGGTAAAGTTGAAATACCAGTTAACATGTAGCTTACATTATATTTTAATTTTCTCCAGTACATCTGACAAAATTCAATAGATGTATTTACAAATTATTGACGGTTTTTCCAAAAAGAACTGAATTATATACTCCATAGTCGAATTGAGGTAATTGTGCTCCCAGCAGGTATAAGTACAGTAAAACATTTTCTGAGAAGCAATTTGCCTTTTCGTAATGAATAGTATACAAAGTCAGCATTTACCATATACCTGCTGCGATTTACAAGAATATGGACTTTATATTTTGATACCGGTAATAACGAGGGGTAGAGGCTACTTGGAAGTGTGACAATCAGGCGTAATTCTGGGAATCTAGTCAGATAATTTGGACAAGTATTGACAAGACTAATGTAAATGTAAAAACTATTTTTTTATTATTTAATTAATCGATGTCAACAGGTTTTCATGTTGAACGTACTTACATAAGAACAATTTCTTCACCGGAAAATTACGAATAAAAACTTTGAATATGTCAAAGTTGCTTATAATGAAAATGCTACTAATTTAAGAATCATTTGTCATGAACGCTTTCTAGAATGGTTGCAGTTTTTTAGAATTTTAATAAAGGTTACTTTCAAGAAATTTTTACGGATTCAAAGTTTCTTCAAAAAATTAAGTTCGTTCCTGTGGATACGTATTTTAGACACACAACTACTATTTTAACAAGAGAGTTTTATTATCTACGCAAAACTGTGGATAATGCACATAATCAAAGTGGTAGTGCTCGTTTTCTTTTACTCTTTGTTATTTTCTTGCCATAGTGCCCCTTCATTATCCTTTTACTTTTTAATTGTAAGAAAATTAAATCTGTCGAACTTAACTGAATAAATATTAAAAATTAAAATTCTATAAAAACGTTTAGGAATCTATGTAAAACGCGATTCAGCACCGAGGGAGTTCATCCTTAGAGATTCAATTTCAAGCTTTATAGTGTAAGGCAAAACATTTACCGAACATGGATTTCCCTGTCAGTGTTTTTTCTTTTCATGTCGCACAAACAAAAATGCGTAATTTGTTGAGCGTATAAAGAACATGTCAGGAATCAGTTCTAATATAACCAAACTGAATTTTTTGAACAAGTTCAAAAGTATTGAACTGCATTTATTGAGCTTTTATTACGTATGAAAAGATGCGTTGAAGGTACGAATTTTTCTATAGCACGCCGTATTTTTCATAAAATGATGTTGCTGATTGATGATTGCATGTAATACATAATAGAATATCCCTATGTTCGGTTCTCAACTCGCTACTGGGGATCCCACTGTGGGGTATATACATATTATAAAAGGCGTATGCGCTTCCCGGGAATGACTGTTGGTCAATCCTATAGGATTGACCACCACCTTTAAGAAGCAAATCTTGAAATATGTTAGATCAAAGGTACTT